AAAATGGTGCTCGTTGCGTCTCGCTGAAATTACGAAGCGAAACGCCGCACTAATGCTCGAACGTGTTTTCCCTCTCTTTCTTCTCTCTCTCTCTCTCTCTCTCTTTCTCTCTCTGCCTCCACCTTGCCCTCGCGGTCGATCTGACTGAATCGCATTTACTTATTCGATTTATTTATTTGACCCGACCCGGTTGCCAGCCACCGTTCGCCGCCTTCGTTCCCTCGTTCGCGGCCGGATGGAAATTTAATGCAAGTTAGATGCGTCGAGCGCAGCCGATTCGCCCTCGTATTGAAACGCCTGGGCCGTCGCCACGGCACGAATAATTTCAGATTCATCGAGATGCAGCGGGCCGAGTCACTTGTAATTCTTTTCCATCGTTGCCTCCGTCGTTTTCCACCGTCCTGGCTCGTCCTTACTCCGCCCCGATCGCCCCCCCCCTTGATCCGCGCTCTGTCTCTTTTCACTCTTCTTGCCATTTCGTTCGAAATAGTCCGGCGCGCGCGGAATGACGGTAGGTGGCGAATCGCGATTGGCGAATCGAAGAAGCGGGAGCAATTGTCCCAGGGAAGACATTCGAGGCAAGAGGGAAAACAGTTCGGCTGGAAAAGAGAAAAGAAAAAAGGGAAAGAGAAAAGTAAAAGGGAAGAAACTGGAGGGATGAGGGTGTGGTCGGCGAAGGAGGGGTGAAGGGGAGAGGGGAGAGGGTGAAACGGCACGCCCGGACATCGCTCTGTCGAAGTTAACTTCGCATTTAACATCTGCCTGGGAGGTTAAAATTTCCCCGGAGGTTTACCCTAAGTTGTACCGGAACGGTATATCTTTTGCCCCGAGACTCGGGAAAAGAAAATCAGTGGCGGGGGGGGGGGAGGTGGCAGGAGGGCTTTATCGTTCGCTGGCCAGCTTCTTCTTGCTTATGCACGAAAGTATCACGGAAAAAAGTAAATCGGGAAACGACAGGAGACGCTGAGAACTTTACGCTGGCGGCGTTTAATTAAAAAGCGTTTAATTTTGTAAATTCGAGAATCGAATATTCCTTTGCGCGCGACTATTACGCGTTCCGAAGCACTCGAGTGCAAAATCTTTCAAAGAAATTTCAGAGGACGACTGAACTCGAGACGACGAAACTTCTTCCAGACATCTGTTCAAAAGAGTCCTGTTCGTCTAAATTCTATTACCGAAGCAATTCTTTCTTCGCAATTTTCCCACGAGAAACTAAAGATTGCCCTACAGATCCTCGAAATACTTGCCAGAAAAATTGAAACGAAGCAAACGAATCACGCGTAGAATGGACAACAATAGCGTTCGGGATCCACGAAGAGGTAAATTCGTCGGGGACAAAGAGGAAACAAAGAAGGCGTGCTTAATTTCGGACGGCAATATTGGCGAAGCGGCAATTCACGCGAAAAATATCGTTTGACGTTTCTATTAGAGATGGATGACGATGGGGGCGAGACGTAGCCGCGCGTAAATCTTGCCGCGGTACAATCACCGGTCGGCGATCAGCGAGCGAATCGGATAAAAGTAATTCGCGATAAAAAGCGATTTTCCGAGCCGTTCGCGATCGCGCTAGCCGAATGAATAATAAAGCGCAGCGCATATCGCCGGCCAATTATTCGAATCGCGAACAATTCTGTGTCGAAACTTGTTGATTTAACGAACGAACTAGTCGACTAGATATACGTTCGATTATAGAACCCTTCGTTTCTCTTTGCGCCGTTTCATCAAATCGGTATCGTTTGAATTTGATCAGTTCGATTGTCATCGGATCGATAAAAACAACGCCAGCCACTGAGCTCTCTATCGCTCTTCGCTGATTGTGAGACCACTGTGCAATCGATATGTTCGAGACGTAGTTCACCATGGTTAACTGCGTTGTTCAACGACTTACAGATCGAATTGGAGAGTTTCAATCGAGTTTTTCGTCGAAACGATTCGCACGACCAAATGGTTACACTCTATTTTCGAATTCTTCTCTAAAAACAGTCTCTACCACGAAACTAAACTAGCACATCTCTTAACCGTTGTTGTTAGCTTCTGAATTGCAAAATTTGCGAGGCTGTTTCGTTAAGAATGTTCCTTCTCGTTAAATATAATTTGAAATTCGAACGTCCGAGTGCGTTAAACGATAATATTTTAGTCAAACTAGATTGCGGAGATTTACGTTTGAAAGTTACAATCGGTTAGAATATTTCCATGTAATTTCATATTCCCAAAGAGTGAAATCATCCGGAAGACGGATTATCGAGCTGATGAAAGAGCGTTTCGCGTTGGCAAATACGATAAAAAGAAGGCCCGGAGGCGCGATAATCGGCAGAGCTGCAGACGATTCGATTATACGTTCGACTCAATGGCAGCGTTTATCGCGACGAACCGCATAAGGGCGCGGTGATTTTTCGACTTCGATTCCCTCGGACGGGGAACTCCGAGAATATTGAAATCATAACGTGCCAGCCATGAATATTATCCAAGTCTTAAGGCAATATAATCCGAAATCGATCGAAGAACGTGGAATAAATTTGGCACCTCGCTGCTCACTTTGAGCACTGATGTTCCACGGGCTGAGAGGAACAACAACGTTCTAACTTCGCGTAGAAGACGATAATGATTTAGTGCCACAACGTTCGGTATCGATGAAACGGTAGTGATCTTCGAAAATTGTTCGAAAAATGATATAAAATACCAGAATGAAATGAAAGAACGAAGGACGAAGAAGATCGAGTCAACTTGGATTAACTAGAATCACTGTTTTAGAAAATTGAAAAAAAGAATTGTCATTTAACCTCTTAGACACGGCTGAATTTTGCGCGGGCG